GGAGCCTAGCCCCTAAACCCTAAACCCAAAGCCCTTTTAAGGAACCCTTAAGCAACTTTGTTCCCGCCCTTGAGACCCCTAAAACTCTCTTCTTCCATAGCCGGGCCCGAAAAGTTCAACCTTTCTAAGATAGAGGTTCAGGTTTCAGGTTTAGGGTGGAGTGTTTAGAGCTTTTAGTGCCTTTCGGGTTTAGGGTTTAGAGTTTAGGGCTTAGGGCTTAGGCTTAGGCCAAAAAGTTTAAGGTCCTCCCATTGGCTATCTAGGCTTAACTCGGTGCCTCGTCCGAGGAAACGTCGCTGGTTCCAATGGCTTGCGGCGAGGAAACGGATGCTGCGGCCTGCGAGGAAAGCCGTAGCTAGAGTTTAGGGAGGGTTTAGGGTTTAGGGTTTAGGGTTTACGGCTTCGGGTTGTTTTAAGGCTGGGTTTTAAGGCTTCGAGTTTGGGGTTCAGGGTTCGGGGATTGGGGTTAAGGGTTTAGAGCTTGAAGGCTCTAGGATTTGTGGGCTTAATGCTTAGGAGATCCCCAGCGGCACCAACTACGCGCTCGTCGCAAGGCGAAACTCTGTACATCCCTGTACTGAAGATTTCATACCGGGCTAACCTTCTTATGAGGTGTATGGGGCTACAGGTACACCCTAAGCCCAAACCCTGTCACCTTGAGTTCTGCAGGATTCCGGATCGATTACTTACATCCGTAATTGAAAGTCAATGAAATTGCAAGCCCCATATATAAAAAGTTACCTGGTAGATAATTCGGTTGTAAGCAAAGCAATGTCACGTTACTAGTAGTCCTGTGGCTCAAAGCAAACTTGCTTCGAAACATGCTTGGGGTAATGCAAAGTTAGGGTCGTAAACCCTAAACGCAGCCTATTTCGGATCCTGCTGTCGGAGCCGAAGCACTTGGGTCACCTCATGTCAGCTCCCCAAAATTGGAGAGGGCCTAGAACAGGGTATGGGGACATGTTGCGGTGTAACGGTTTGAAGGAACCGCAAGCAATAGTAATGGTAGTTATTCAGGCCCCTATACTACACTCAACACAATACGTCAACGGCTTAAAACGCCTAAAATTCTAGACTCTGAACCGGCCGACCCCTAACTTCAACCATCTTTGAACCAAAAATCCTGAACGGACAAAACTAGCCCCTAAGCAACAGTAAATCTGCAAACAAACTAGACCCTCAACACTAACGACCCCCAGGGTCCATGTACTCATATAGTATATACATTGGCCCCAAAGAACCTATATAGGGACTATATTAAGGCCAAAATATATACTATTTGGGTACATGGACCCTTAGGGGAAACACTGACGAGAAGAAATGCCCCAACTGAATCGCGCGCCTCCCCGAAGGACGGCGTGTGGCAGGACTTTTCACCTCGGCAGAGAGCAGGTGGGTACTCCAGAGGCCTCAATGACGTTCAGACTGGTGCTTGTCTGGGGCTGTAAATGATGTATAGGTTTATATACCCTAAGGGTCTAATAGTATATCCTTTGGCCTTAATGTAGTCCCTATATAGGTAATTTGGGGCCAATGCACCTTCAGGGATAATATATAAACATACAAGAATACATACTATGTACTAAGCCCGACACCCCCAAAATTCCCTAGACACCTCTAAGCCATGGTCTGACCGTTTTTTCTGCGTGCCACTGGACTGCAGAGTTCTGTCGTGCGGGGCTTCATGCAGAGCTCAAGTTCAGTGTTCAGGGTCTGAGATTAAGGGTTTACCCATAGGCCCTAAAGTAGTTCCTTTTTGGGGGTTCATACTTGGAATCCTGTAAGGATAATCCCAAAAAGGAACTACTATGGAGCCTACGGTTTAGACTGAGGGTTTAGGGTTCAAGGTTTTAGGGCTTTGGCTTGGGGCTAAGGTTTGTGTCCTTTCGGTTTAGGGTTTAGGGCTCAGGATTTAGGGCTTAGGGTTTACCCATGCAAGGAGAAAAGCAGACCTCAAGTTGACGACACTGCAGACGGCTTAGAGCAGTCCCGAGACTTGCAGAGGCGTTTAAACCGAATACCCGACAGCGGCAAAATGAAAGCGCCTTCATAAGCCGGAACACTTTGGGGCATACTGTACAGACATAAGGAACCCTAGCAAGGAAAACTATGCCTATGCACAACTATGTTGGCCTCTACAGACTCTACAGTATATGGGTAGTTCCCTAAATTAGGGTCCCTTCTCAGGTCCCCAGTAATACGGCACCCTGGTAAAAAAAGAGAGAAGTCTCCATATACTGAAGGCATCTTAATGCTTCGCCTTCCACAACCTAGCCAGGCCGATTTATACTACACCCAAACCCTAAACTCTAAAC